AAGTACGAGCAGCCAAGAATTGTGGAGGAAAATAAATAACTTAACCGGAAAAAAGAAGAAACGGAATCAGCCCACGATCGCACATGAAGACGAAGAGGCAGCAATTCAATTCCTGAATGATAACTTCCCTTTTAGTGACAATTACGATGCAAACTTCAGCGCGAAGGCAACCTATGACATATTGAATGTCGAAAAATGGTACGAAATTTTGAACAAGAAGAAAAAACACTCTGCGGCAGGCCCGGACTGTCTCAGTTATGAAATGCTGAGAAATTTAAAATCTGATGTTCGAGACAGCGTAATCGAGGATCTCAATAGAATGTGGAAATGCGGAAGAACTGATGAAAATATGAACAGAATTAAAGTGATTGCAATTCCAAAACCGGGACGAAATCCAGAAATTATCAGCAACTTACGGCCGATCTCTATGCTTAACTGCTCATTGAAAATGATCAATACGGCAGTTTTAGTTGAGCTAAATCAATTCATACAGAGTAATGCAATATTACCAGAAACATCTTTTGGTTTCCGAAGGCACAACTCCACTACTACATGTCTGAACTACGTCATCAACAGCCTAAACTCTATTAAAAGAGAAGGTAGCGTTGCAGCGGCGATCTTCATAGATATGTCTAATGCATACAATACCGTTAAAACAGGGACACTTGAACAAGTGCTTTACGAATACGGTACTCCACTGGAACTGACAAGCTGGATAGTAAACTTTCTCCTCGACAGAACCATTCAAATACAGGTAGGCGCACAACATCTAGAAAGGAAAGTAAAAGATGGACTGCCTCAAGGGGATGTCTTGTCACCAATATTGTTCAACATCTACACGGCACAACTACACAATGGAACAACAGATGGAGTGATTTTGGTTCAATATGCTGATGACTTCATGGCAATCGTAAAAGGTAAAAACGTTGAAACTGTGCAACACCGGGCGCAGACTTTTGTAGATGAATTCAAGGAGAAATCGGAACAACTGAACCTGAAAATAAACAAAAGCAAAACAAAAGTCATGCTATTTCAACGGAACAAAAAATCATTAAAGTTGAGTATAGGAAACACGGACTTGGAAACAGTAAACACCTACAAATATCATATCTAGGAGTTACACTGGATCGATCGCTAACATATGGAGCCCATATCAGAGAAGTTAAGAGTCGCGCTACTGACAGAATCAACATGCTGAAGGTAATAAGCAGCACGAAGTGTGGTGGTCACCCACAAACTCTAAGCCTTCTTTACAATGCAATAGTAAGAAGCTACTTAGAATATGGTGCTTCTGTGTATGCAAACACATCGAAATGTAGCCTGGAAAAACTCACGATAACCAACAACACGTGTTTGAGAAAGATTACAGGATGTTCAAAAACCACACCAATTAATACTTTATGCGCTATAGCTAGCCAACCTCCCCTACAATTTCGTAGAAAGTTGATAACGGCTAATGAAATAGTGAGACACGCACAATTTCTGACTCCGGTCTGGTCACAACTACAAAAGTTGAATGTATCCAACGATGCAACAACACATAAGTTAACTTTCCAAGAAGAGATTTTCGAGGATTACAAACATGTCTTCAACGAGGTCACGCATACAGTATTGATTCAACCAATCTCAACAACCATACGAGTCGAAACCGAATTGGACAATAAGCCATGGACCAAAAGGAACACATCCGCAAAAACACTAAAACAACTAGCTTTGGGGAAAATACACGGACCATATAAGGATTGCCGGAAAATCTATACGGACGCGTCGAAGGACGACGAACACTGCGGCGTGGGTATTTTCGATGAGAGTAACAAATGCAAGATTAGCTTGAAGCTGAAACACACTGTATGTACGATGTCAGCGGAACTAGAAGCAATTGTAGTGGCGTTACAATACGTGGAAAGGAATCAAATCGAAAATGCTGTAATTCTCACCGATTCGAAGTCGGGATGCGAATTCATAAAAAGTCAACTTGAATCAACTGAAAGAGACGAAGTTATACATACCATCATTGAAAAAGCATCAATAAGTAACACCTGTATCCAATGGATCCCAGGACATGTGAACCTGGAAGGAAATGAGATTGCAGATAGACTGGCGAAAGCTGCACTCCATACGAAAGAAATAGCCAACAATCGGATATTACCACACGATGCCATCAATTGGATTAAAAGCGATATCACTGAAAATATTCAACAATGGTATGTTAACTACACACAGGAACATGGCAAAGGAAGGAAGTTCTTTAAATTTCAAACAGGAATAAATTTGAAATCATGGTACCACAACCTGCCGCTAACCAATTCCGAAGTAAGAACACTCAACAGGCTGCTATCCGGTCACGATTATTCGCCGTTCTGGCTCAGCAGGATGAAAATTAAAGATGAGATGTACTGCCAATTATGCGACTGTTTAAACACCTCTGAACACATAATTTTCCACTGTATAAAATATCTAATACCCAGAGATAAACACAACCTTGATAAATATTACTCAATCCAAGAAGCATACGATGACAAAAACATTGATACTCTGAAAGATATATGTAAGTTTCTTAAGGAAATCAGTCTAAACATATAATGCTATAAGATTGTAATGCACTGATTCAAATGACAACACAAACAAAAAAGCTACTCCCAATGAAAAACCGACTGGCGTTATAGCGAAAATGCTGTGCCATTTATCAGTGGGTTGTTTTGACAACACCCATAACCAGAAGAAGAAGAAGAAGAAGAAGGGTCGTTTTGCGAATTTAAACCGAGAAAGTGTTTTTACGAAAAATTTGATGTGTTAAAATCATTTTCGCGTTGACCATTTTGCTCAACATCAACAATGACATTAATCCTAGCTCTGAAGTTCAGGTTAGGAAAAAAGTTAGGTTAAAACAAAACGTCAGCTATTGTTGGTAAACAAACCGACAGCATTGTTGACAGCATTCCCCCATGCACTCAAAAATATAACTACCCACAAATCTAAAAAACCTACTACCAACAACTACTGCGTGCACCTCGGCGTGCACTTCCATTCTATTACCGAGAACCATGATTTTTCGATAAATTCCTTCCACGATCCTGACCTTTGGGTCCATGGCTAAAACACTCTCGCCCCATTGATTTACTTTGAACATAGATTTTCCCTTCTTTTAATCATGAGCTGTTCTTTTAGGGTTAATTGTTGCAATATTCAAAGATGTCTTCGTAATGCTCGCGAAACCAACCTAAGAAATGTAGTACCATAGAGGTAACTCTAAGACAAGTAGGTCCCAAAGAAACGTGCTCAACTTTTTGGCTCACCTCTGGTACTATCTTCGGTCCCATGCTTGTCGAATCACCCCTCGAAACATAGGAAAAATCAATAACCCCTCATTTTATCTGTCAAACTTTCATAGCGAATCAAAACAAACATTGCGTAGTACTAGAATTTCGTCTAGAATAGGGTACGTTAATCGTTTGCTTGGGACCAATAGGCTACTAAAGTGGTGAGCCAATTTAAAATCGTTAGTTTCGTATTGATTGTTGGTAGTACAGTCAAGGTATTTTATAAATTTTTGGATTTCATTCGAGGAAATTACATTCGGGGAAATGGGGTATATGTTTGTATGGGATTCGGGGAAATGGCGTTCGGGAAAACGACATTCGGGGAAATGTAGCACAATCATTATTGAATTAGTGGAAATCGAAATTAGATAGGGGAAATGACGGCTTCGGCATGACAGACTATTTTCGGCAACCCAAATTGAAACACTATTTTCACTGGATTTTCTTACGAAAACACTTCGCTGAATGCATGCAAACGATTCTTTATGCTTTCAGCTTCAATTTGACTATATTTTTACCACTGAGAAAAAGCAATCTAGCAGGGTTTTCTTGACATGAAACACACGCACTACAAATTGTAGCTGATTTCGAGTTGCCGATAATAGAACAGCAGATTTACATGCAGTTCAAATGGAACGGTTGCCGAAGAAAAACTGGTTGCCGACAATACTCGCTCTCACTAAAGAAGATTGGAGCTTTGTAAAAGCGTTTCAAAACAATTTTTGACAATTCTTTCGACTGAAATTGTTAGAGCAGCTGGCAGCAAAAGATTGTAAACAAACCAATACTGCATATGTGTGCGTTCCATAGAGAAAAAGACTATAGAAAGAAGGTCGCTGCTTAGGTTGCCGACAATACGTAAATTCCCCTATTAACGAAAATAAAATCTGAACAAAATTAGGGCCACATTATGCAACCCTCGACGTAACCAAATCAAATCGACTTTTCATATTAGCGCTCTTACGAAAAATGCTTCGTTTCGATTTCTGCAATTAGGCTTCAGTTCTTTATGAAGCAAATATACGAATAAAATATGTTATCGATGATATCATGACAACAGAGCGCGCAAATGTCCAAATCGAAATCAAAACAAAAGCTACAGATGATTTTTGCTATATTGAAATACAGTATTTACAGTAAAACTTTCAAATTCCGATTGTTCAATGAAACTTTTTTTAAACTCAGTTTGAAATATGAGTTTAACATGATTCCAGTTTTGTTAATTTACAGCTCATTTTTATTAATCGAGCTTTCGCACGGTGATATCATTATAGTTTTAATTCAGTTTTTAATAAGGACTGAGAAATATTTCCCTGAGTTTCCAGGTAATTGACACCCTGAACCATACAATTAAGAGAGATAAGGACCAAGCGCAATGACAGCGGAAGCGGAACGGCAGCGGCAGCGGAAAAGCCCGATCTGAGTAAGCCTGCTTGTCGGATTGAAAACTAGTTAGAACCAAATCGACTTCGGTTAGGCATCTTGATATCATTTGTGACAACTGTCAAACTTTCCGTTTCCGTTCCGCTTCCGCTCACATTGCGTTTGGGCCTATACTGCCATCTGTCCCATCTTTGCTTAATTTCCTGTTCAAATGGGACTGTTAGGCGTTTATTGGTAGGATAGGTTTTGGCAAGATTGTGATCGATCACTTAAATACTCCGATAAAAACGAATGTCCTTTATTATTAATTGTTATTAATTTCATAGTTTATATTTAGTTTACCTTAAATTGATCACAACTGAAAAATATAATCGTCATAGGTTTTGATTTATACGAAACTACAACTTTTTCCAACGTCGAATCGATTACGCGCCATTCACATGTCGCAGATCCGTTTCCATCGTAGATGGTCTATTTTATGTTTGAATAATTTTGCTTTCCAATAACGCACACCACAAGCAGTAGGGAACTTATTTTCGGCATACCTCAAAGAAAGAACCCGAATATAGACACAAGAAAAGGGTTGCTTTAACGGACACCGATTAGTAGGTTGGAATTTTATGGATTCATTGAACGAACTAGTTCTGTGTAGTAAATAGTAGTAGTTGTTGTTGTTGTCACACGTAAGGAACGGAAGAATGCTTTGCGTGGAATGCCTGCCTGAGCAAAAACGAATCAATTTCACGGCTCCGGTTCAACCATGAATGGTGGTATGATCATTATGCTAAGAACTTGGAAATCGTTTTCTTTTTTTATGACGTACGATAGCTTTTTTGCTTTATTGATTAAAATAAACAAACGAAGACTATTTGGTAAAAGCTTTAATCTAATAAAGGGACCAAGGAAGTTGTCAAAGATCTATACGTTTGCTTATGCTAGAAATTCAATAGTTGTGTTGTTGTTTGTTAGGTTGGTAGGTTCTTCTTCACTTTGAGATAAAATACTAAACATGCAGTAAAGGGTAAGTGTTCCATTCTTTTGTCTTGATTTCTCATTTGTTTTAGGTAATCGTAAGATCGTATCGTTTCTAAGACAGTTTAGCCGTATTCTCTCATCTTCACTTATCGTTTTATACCTAATAAATGAATGAAACAAAAAATAAACGGAATTTGCCATTCGTCTCACTGCCCGGTCTTTTTATTTAGATAGCTAATTTTATGATGATTGGTAATTAAAAAATAAAACAAAATATAAACTTTATTTTACAACATTCGCCAATCACGTCCCGCTTACACAAACCCAACTGCAACCTCGGTTATTCAAATATTATCATCATCATCGTTATTTTTATTTATAATGCTAGGAGCACACGGTTTCGTTACCTTTTCAATTAGTTTTCTTTTATACAAAGTCCTTCGCTCTCGTGTGTTGTCCTTTTGTGTACCCTACCTCCAACATGTTTTTCTTCGTCTTCTTCTTCTTCTTCTTGTTTTTCGTCACCATTCAACTAGTGTCCCCATCTTGGAGCAGCTGAACAAAGAGGGGGTTCTTTCATAGCATAGCAGCATTAGTATGGTAAATGGTGATAAAGTGGTGGTGGTTGGTTTTTGGCAACACATTTTAACAGCAACCACTGCTCGACTGACCGCCGGGATTGTTTCCGCTGCCTAGGGACGGGTTGGTTGGTGAGTGCTGCTGGCCAATCTTGATGCCGTTTGCCTGGAAGGAGATCAGTGAAAAAGGTCAAACTACCTATGGTAACCAGAACGGAGAAGCTTAAAGTTGCTTCCATTCACTTGCTATAAAAAACAGAGTTTTCGGAATTATTAAACCCTTTCACGTAGGTAGTCCTTTCGAAAAAGTAATCAAGAAATATGCAAGGCTCATGGACTTTGATGAATGAGATTGATGATTGAATTTCTACATCTTGAATATTGATCTTCGTTGATCCATTCTAGAAAATTTCTCCAAGCATGATTATTTTTAATTTTTTTTTCCTTGGATTTGTTTTCCGTCGATCTTGTTTTCCGTGCTGAGCACCAATGCTACCGACGTGCCAGTGCCAGGAAGGCAGCTCCCACACCTGGACCCTACCTATCGACCCATCAACTCATGAACCGGGAACCAACGGCTTTATTTCCCTTCCGAAGGAAGGCGTGATCTGAGATGTTATGCCTCAGAACATCCCGGCGGCGCCGACTGGGATTGAACCCAGGCCTGCTGGGGTGAGAGGTAATCACGCTTACCACTACATCACCGGCGTCGCTGATTATTTTTAATTATTTCAAGGGAATTGAACTCTGAATTTCGACGATAGTTTCAACCAAATTTAGAAGAAAATTTCTAAGGAATTGTGAGTATTTATATTCCAAGGATATTCCGGTGATAATTTTTAGAAAATTTAAAAGAAAGTTGCAAGGAAATTTATGAGTGTTTATAGAAGATTTTCGAAAGTATTCTGCTGGAAATTATAAGAAAATTAAAGTTTTCCATAAACAATTGCGACACAGAAAATTTATCAAGATTCAAGGTTTGAGAAAAAATCGAAATTCTGAAGCTTAGAAAATTATATTTAAAAAAAAAATTATATATATTTAGAAAAATCTACGAGGTTCAGAGTGTTTTATTTAAAATTAAATATTCCGGACATGGCAGAAGGTGAGGGAACTAATCTACTACTACTAACTACTAATCCTTCTCACTCTCTCTTTATACATGTATTACTAAGACGCCCACATCCATCAGGATGTATAAAACTGGATGAATTCTTAAAAAATGGAATATTTCAAACTGTTTGACTGGATGTGTCAAAAAAACTGGAAGAATTCAGTTTGAACTGGAATGTTGTCATCACTGCTCAGTGCTTCCTAAAACACGATAAAAAAAACGTCATATTTTCTAAAAATAGCGCGATTTTCGCGACATAATTTAATGTTTCCGCGAATTTAACGACTGAAAGTTCTCGCGACATATCCACGCCTGTTGTAACAGCACTGCATTTGTACTGTTCCTGGGACTTGGAAAATTCGTTATTATGGCACTTTGTTCGAAAGAAATGTTCGATTTGGAATTTAGAAAAAAAAAATTATCTGAAGATTTGAATAACTTTCAGGACCTTGAGAAAAAAAAAGTTTTTCTAGCTTCCAAATTTCAAAACCTTTATTAGGCTGTCATTTTTTTGAATCCAAAATTTTGAAAATTTTGAGAATTCAGACTGAAAAAAATAGAAATCATAGAAATAGGATCAATTTTAAATTCTGACCTAGGAAAAATTTCCGTGATTCTGGCACATAACAGATTCTCCGGTGGGAACTAAATCTGCAAGCAGCAGAGGAAGACACAGCACATTCAATTTAGTTAAAAGAAAATGGATCTGGGCCCATGTTAAGGTGAAAGCAAGCACCGGCACTGGATGGAAATTTATCACCCTACATAATATCCCATTCGTCAACGATTTACATACCTCATTGTTGATGTCAAACACTCCCTCCTGTATCTTCTCGTAGATCTCCTTCGCAGTATTGATGAAAGCCTCCTCTACGTTCGCCGCCGTGCGGGCTGAAGTTTCCATAAAGACTAGACCGTGCTCTCGGGCGAAAGCTTCGCCTTCCTCCTTCTTCACCTCGCGGCGGGAGTCCAAGTCACTGAAAATCGAATGCAAGCCAACCTCATCAATCCGGAAGCTGTGGGGCGGGGGAAGGACACCTACCTCTTGTTGCCAATCAGCATGATCACCATGTTGGAGTTCGAGTGCTGCCGGGCGTCCTCCAGCCAGGTGGTCAAATGGTTGAACGTTTCCCTTCGGGTGATGTCGTACACCAGCAGGGCCCCGGCGGCACCTCGGTAGTATGAGCGGGTAATCGAACGGAATGCTTCCTGACCGGCCGTGTCCCAGATTTGCAGCTTGATCTGCTTGCCATCGATGGTGATCATACGAGCACCGAACTCAACACCGATCGTCAGATCATGCACCGGCTGGAACCGTTTGTCCGTGAACTGGAGCAGTAGGCAGGATTTGCCGACACCTGGAAGCATAGAAAGAGATAGAACAATTTATTTAGAGTATTTTTTTCTGTTTCAAGGGTCATGCGTCTCCATTAGAAGTTATTGAAAAGTGACAAGCGTCTCCATCGTTTGTTATGCAAAGCAAATGCGATTCGAAATCACACAATCCTTCCAACCTGGGAACGCCATTTGGCATAGCCATAACAAGGCATAATGGCCGTTTAGCCATTTGGCATAACAAACAAACTAATACTGAGACAATAATTGATAAATGTATGCTGAATCAGCTGCCAAAAATTCAGAGACGTATCTTTTTAACTTGTGCTTTTAGAGCCGTTTTTCTAAAATTTAAATACAGCTGTACGATCAATTTTGAGATACACTGTATGTCTAATTACCTTTATGCCACACGGCTTTATGTCAAACGGGGTAGCCCCTTTTCAACCATATGGAAACAACTTCGACAGGTTAAATTTGTTTACGCCAGTCAACTAGATACGACGGGCATCACCGGAAAATCGATTCTACATATCAACCTCGCACACTGCTGCGAGCAGCTGAGCTGCGGGCTGCGGCTGCTATTTTCGCATATTTGTATACTTGGACTCACGTCGATTATCGAACGAAATCCTATTCCCCAAAAAACGCTCGACAGATATCGAGCGAAAACTAGGAACTAGGAAATGTATGTTTTATCACGGTCACCGTCTGCGTGTTCTCATAAATATTAGATTCGTATTCGGGAGATAAAGCCAACCAACGAAGAAGGCGGTTTACGTGTGTGGATATCAAACTAGGTTGTGCCTGATGAAGAGGATTGATGAAAATGGGACCGCGATTTTAACACTCATCAAATCTGTACTGGAAGGTACTGAAATAACGCATCGTGTGTAGTGAAAGGTGGGGCAGTTTGCCCTCCTTGAGAAAATCATCACTAATGATACTAAATTCAGTGGCAAATTCGAATGACTTTGAAGTAAATTGATAGTTTCAAGCACTATTTACATCATGAATACAAATTGAATATCAAATGTAAACTTTTGAATATTATAAAAAAAAGTTCGTTTTGTAACCGAAATAAAACAAAATGAGCATGCTATCGGGGTGGTCTGAGCTCCCTAGTAAACAACCTGTAAGAATGTTCTGTTTTCATGAGGCTTTAAGAAGGATCAATCCAAAATCTAGCATCCAAAATGGCACACGAATCAAGGAATGTGTTTGCAACTGAATTATTAACGAATGAGAAAGTCGATGAAGAAAAGCAATCAAAGTCACTTACACCCCTTTCCTTCTAGCCCCCTCATTTAAGGCTATACAGTCAGCGGTGTCGGTAGTGTAGTGGTAAGCGTGATTGCCTCTCACCCCAGTAGGCTTGGGTTCAATCCCAGTCGCCGCCGCCGGGATGTTCTGAGGCATAACATCTCTGACCACGCCTTCCTTCGGAAGGGAAGTAAAAGCCGTTGGTCCCCGGTTCATGAGTTGATGGGTCGATAGGTAGGGTCCAAGTGTGGGAGCTGCCTCCCTGGCATCGGTAGCATTGGTGCTCAACACGGAAAACAAATCACCGGAAAAAAGGCTATACAGTCACCCGAGTATTATATCGCAATAGGCTCTGCTCGAGAGTGGTTGATTTTCGATTTCACTACGTTCACGTTTTTTCTTCGTATTCTTCGATACAATCGATGTAAATATTTCTTCTTCTTTCTTTTCTTCTTCGCATTTCAAGCTTATTGCATATCGCATATTAGCTTATTGCGTGCTCTCAACTTAGTGTTCTAGATGCACTTCCACAGTTATTAATTGAGAGCTTTCGATGCCTGTACCATTTTTGCATTGGTATAATTGTGTGGCAAAAGTCCAATCATACTTCTATCAACAATCAATACGAAACTAACGATTTTAAATTGGCTCACCACTTTAGTAGCCTATTGGTCCCAAGCAAACGATTAACGTACCCTATTCTAGTTGAAATTCTATTACTACACTATATTTGTTTTGATTCGCTATGAAAGTTTGACAGATAAAATGAGGGGTTATTGGTTTTTCCTATGTTTCGAGGGGTGATTCGACAAGCTTGGGACCGAAGATAGTACCAGAGGTGAGCCAAAAAGTTGAGCACGTTTCTTCGGGACCTACTTGTCTTAGAGTTACCTCTATGCTTCTATGCCCAGGGAAGTCGAGACATTTTCCAACCCGAAAAATTCCTAGACCGGACCGGGAATCGAACCCAACCACGTCCAGCATGGTCTTGCTTTGTAGCTGCGCCTTTACCGACTGAGCTAAGGGAGACCCCAATGTAAATATTTATATTATTTGACAAATCTCAGGTAATCATGACAGCAGTTCGACAGTATAAGCATAGAGGTAACTCTAAGACTAGAAGGTCCCGAAATAACGTGCTCAACTTTTTGGCTCAGCTCTGGTACTCTCTTCGGTCCCAAGCTAATCGAATCACCCCTCGAAACATAGGAAAAACCAATAACCCCTCATTTTATCTGTCAAACTTTCATAGCGAATCAAAACAAACATTGTGTAGTACTAGAATTTCGACTAGAATAGGGTACGTTAATCGTTTGCTTGGGACCAATAGGCTACTAAAGTGGTGAGCCAATTTAAAATCGTTAGTTTCGTATTGATTGTTGGTATAAGGGCGTAAACGCGATGATCGATTCTCTTCGTCGATTTTCTCTTTTGTTAATATCTCGCTAGAATTAACGTTTCTTGTTGCGTTTGCTGTTGTTTTTGATAGCCAATACAACCTGTTACAACTCTGCATTGAACAAATTCTAGAAAATTGTTTCGCTTAGCTGTAGTAATGCAAAAAGAAAATCGATGAAGAGAATCGATCATCGCCATACGCCCTTATGCATGTTCAGTCGAGTTGGTCTCTTTTCTTCATTCATATTGTTTTCAATAATCAAACGTCATGATTACCTGAGTTTTGTCAAAAAAGGTAAATATTAACGTTGTTTGTACCAAACAATTGAATTTGCGATTAGAATTATGTTCCCGCAAAAGCTTCCAATAATGTCGCGTGTGGTAAAATATGCTGTGTTCGGTACCGTGCGGGACCGAAATCCGTACACCTAAGCACGAGAGAATCATTAACGGTCAATACTAAATAATGCTATCACATTATGCTCTGTATCACATCTTTTTCCTATACATTTATCTTTATTTTACCATTATTTGCAAACAGCAGGTCTTAAAATTACCTTTAATTATAAGAAAAAAGTATTTAAATTGCACATCTCTTGAATCAAAATCCGTACAGCGTTCTACGATTGAATCAAAATCCGTACAATTTTGAATCGAAATCCGTACACTGTGTCGAGGATGAATCAAAATCCGTACAGTCATGAATCAAAATCCGTACATGCATGTAAATCGATCTAAATAAATGAAAAAAAAAAATGTTGCTGTCTTGAATAAAGTATTTTTTTTAGAAGTTGCTTGGCTAGGAGTCCAAAACATATATACTCAAATACACTAGTTTACAGCATGTTTGAACTTTGTACGCTGATGGTCATTTCCCATGTAAAATCGTGCGCTGAATCCAAAAATGTAGTCCAAAAAAATCTCAGTAGGACAGTTTTTGAGATATAGCTTAAAAATGAAATCTAACTTTTAAAAAAAAAGTGTTTACTAAAACCACAAATACCTCCGGCTGTAATGAAGTAATATTAATTATTTTAACGCCGAATTAAACGTGATAAAATTTGATTTCGATCATTACAAAACTATTTTTCCGTGAGAGTAATGGTAAAACCACAATAAACATTTTTATTTACAATGCTTAAAAAATTAGCAGAATTTCAATTTTTCTAAAGAAAACTTTAAAAAACAAACTATTAACTAATAACAATACCACTAATCTCACTGACAATTGATCTTCAATTGATCGAACGAAAAATTTCTTACCTCTAATTTAGCGTTAAAATAATTGATATTTATATTGTTGGATTCTGCGCACGATTTTACATAAGAATCATTCGTCAAAGGTTCAAGTTCATTTTTTTACTTTTATTTTTTTTTAACTAGTAATATCAGCGTTAGATTAATTGATGCTTCAATCGATTCAAAGGAAAGGTAACTGATTTCTTTTTATTTAAGAAGGTGACTGCTCTGGATTTTTATGCTAACTAATAGTCCAACTTTATGCCATACCCAAGCAACATTGCAAGTTTTATTGAGGTTTTATAGCATGCTACAAGTCTAAATCATGGTCTACAGAACCCTAATAAAACCCAAATTGTTACTTGGGTAATGACTTATAAAACATGTTTTTGCACGTGAATTTTCTTTAAAAAATTAGAAAAAATGTGATTTTTTTAGATTTTTGATACTTTTTTTCAATATTTTTAGAAAAATCAAAACGTAATTTTTTTTTTCAGAGCGGTCTGCTTCCCCTAAGGATTCATTTCCTCCTAATTTTATTCTATACCAATGCTTTGGGTTAAATAATATTACTAGAGTTTACCTCCGATCACAACTTCGAGGTCTTTGAAATTTGACATGTGATAACGTGCAAGATGCGCCATACTTTGGAACTTGGGGGCACTCCAGCTCAACGCTACAAAACATTATTAACCGGGACTAAACTGGTGGTGTAGCTTGGACAATGTTGTCGAATCAATAATAGCAAACTGAAGAGAAGACTGCCGAAACATATTTAATACACCGATAATGGAAACGCTCCACCAACCCACTGGCATCAAGCGATAGAATAAGCGGTTCCTAAGATGGTAGCCCTATAATGGCAGATAAGTGAAAAAAAAAAATTACAACCATCTTCGAAACCAACAAAAAAAGACAATGAATTAACATCAAAGATTAGTTTTTCGTTTTGTGCATGAAAAATAAAATAAACGTAACTTAACTACTAAAACTTAATTTAATTTAAAACGTCAAGAGAGTAATAATCATAAAAATACAGATCTTTCATTGCTTCTTTTCCGCAACTTTCTTCTGCTTCTTCTCCATTGTTGCCATTGCCTTTTCAAGTTATAATGCTTTCTTG